AGGTTATGCCAACGCGGAGCCGATTCTCCGCTAGTCTAAAGGTGGACTGGAAAAAAAAGGAAAGGGAAAAGAGTGAAGCGTGATGAGGGAAGAAAGGCAGATGTGAGAGTAAGTGCTCCTTCATATGCTGACCAATTGACAGACATTTGATGAGCCCTCTAACCAAGGACGAAAAAGCCATATCAAGAGAGCTGACGCGATAGCAGACGGTTCATAAAGCTTTTCTAAATATGCCGTTTTCAATGAAGAGACCAGATGCAGATGGAAAGAAAAGGAAAGTAAAATGGGTATAATGTCATGAAAGCAAAAGAAAAAAGACCCTGCATAATTGCAAGAATCAAGCGTTTACAGCCTGCTCCGGTGGGCTAGGCGACATGCCCTGTGGAGTGTTGTTCTCTACCAGGCTATCATTGTCGCCTCTAGTGGAATGCAGCGATACGCCTTCATTAGACACCGCGCTCGGCTCACCCAAAGTTAAGACGGGCGGTACCAACGCAGCATCGGGCTCTGAGAGTTCCGGAACTAGACCGATGGCAGCATCGCTTTTGGACTTGTCTTCGCGATATAGAACCCCGGCTGCTTCTGCTGAATTCCAGGGCTCATCACGTGCACTCCCCTTGGTCGCTATACTCCCACTTCTCAAAGGGTGTGGGCTGCTAGGGTATAAAGACTCCGAGGCGACAGAGCCTGCACTACTGGCAAGTTCTGGATTTGATGCCCTTGGCTCGTCCGATGGAGTTGGCTTTCGTAGTTTGAGGCGCTCCTCTGGCGGCATGTTCTGCCACTCAGATCCGAAAGTCACAATTGATGCCTTCTTGCCATGCACAGTAAAGTTGGTCGACTTCCGCGATAGACCTTCGCCTTGCTGCGTTTTCTGGTTATCATCTGACGTCGCCATACTGAATCCTGAATCTCGAGACTTTTTCTTTCGAGGGTAATGCAGATGATGGCCGCTGGGGGAGTCTCGAAGGGTACGATGGAGGCTGCGACGGATACGGCTTGTTCTCTCTCCCTGGAATGCGCCTTGCACATCATCTGGTTTCTGGTCGGCCTCGCTGTCATTCGTAGCTGAAGAATGTTTCCGTGCTTGGGGAGAGTTGCCGACTTCAAGCAACCCTGTTTCACGCAGCAGACGCTCTTCAGTTTCATCCATACTGCCGGGGCCAGTTATCTTAGAGGCTCGAGACCCCAGACTCGAAACATCTACCTTACTAGCGGCGCTCAGCACTGATGATTCGCGCTGTAGGCTACTCGCTGGATGAGGCGAGCAAGATTTCGCGCGTTCCTCGGTATTATTGTCCATGGATAATTGCCTACCAACACGGGAAGCCACTTCGAGGGAAGCAAAGGAGGCCGGTATACTTGGTCTCCGGCCATCGGGAGAAGCGGGTTGCGACGGCGGAGTTTTGTAGACCGAGTGAGGACCGCCAGACTCCACGTGTGGGGATGGGTCATCCTCTGTCGGAGATGTCGCTTTGTCAGTCCCTGCTCCATCCAGGTTCTCTGGCTGTGATGTAACGGTGGTTGTTGGTATTTGCAAGTGCAGTTTCTGCTCTGCAAAAGCCTTCTCTTCGTCCAACGCTTCACCTATGTCTCGAACAAGAACCTCCCTATAGCACTTAGTGCGCCAAATATCCTGTCTAACCCATTTGAGTTTTGCAGCCATGCGCCCTGCAGCCATGATGACATGCTCTCTGGCCCTGGAATGTACAGGCGTCAAAACTTGCAAGTGCCTGGCATTTCGCAAGAGATCATCAAGCTGTTGTTGTGCAACAAATAGTTTTTTGTTAGCCTCTCGAATCTTTTCGCGTATAAGCTGCCTGCGAGCTGTAACCAACTCCTCAGCCACATCGGTATCAGGGTTTGGAGACGGCGGTTCTTTGTCCGTAGAGAGATGTGAGCGGCTCGATTGAATTGAACCCCGACGGCTCATCCGATTCCGTTGTGCTTCATAGTTGGTGGCGATCATTCCCTTCGTTCTGACTCCGGTGGTCCGAAACGTCGCAGCATAATTTAGTTTCTCTAGCCAATCGTTCATGTCGGCTTCAGTATTTGCCAGGAATACCTCCTCTAGAGCGTTATGGCGGACGAAGACAAAGGCATGCTTGTGCTTTTTGTAGCTTAAATCCAGCAAAGCCACCGCGTCCTCAGTTGACATGATACCGTCGGGTTTGAATTCGGTAAGAGGAGGCTTGAAAACCACCGCTCGACGACGGCCCTCCTTCTGATGGTTTTCGTGTTGAGCCATCAAAGATTTAACCCACGCCACATCCTTGAAAAAGTAGAGTTGCGAGAACGTGAGGAGAGCACCCCATTCTTGCCATGGAGATCTAGCCCTCTTCTTTTTCGGATCCTTTCTCCAAAGTAATCCAACTTTAGCGATTTTGATATCCACCAGCCCGGGATTAGAGTCGGCCGGATTGTCGAGACTCGATGGCATATACATGTCTGGCCTAGATCGTAGAGATACAATTTGCAAAACACCAGATTTAGAAAATGCGTGGTGAAGACTATCGATATCTGCCGGCCCATCAGCTCCATCACAACGATAGGTATCCTCCAAGTTCATAACATCCTTAAGGCTTGGGCGCAGAGAATCCAGCTTCCCGTCCATTATCAACATATAGGGATCCACTGGTTCTCTAGTGGCTCGAACTAAGTGATCTGTGCTAGTGGCCTTCAACAGAGGTCGACGTGGTTTTGAAAAATGTCGGCCATTGGACGTTGCGTCCTCGATATGGATGAAAGGGGTGTACACGATGTTCTCATAGAAACACTCCAGGATGTCCTCTGATATGCCTTGGCCGCTAGTGTTCTTGACGTAATCTGGCTTTTGCATTTTCCTTTTGTTGTTCTTGTTAAAAACATCTGTGTGTAGAATTAAGATCGAGAAGGCGATGAAGTAGGCCTTGTCTAGATGATAGGTAGGGGGTCAGCTTTGAACCTTTGCACAATGACATACTGACGATAACTAACGTACCTGTGGAGGCGAAGATACCCGGGTTACATTCATGATATCTATCAGCAAAGCTTTGGAGGAAGCGGTCAATTTGTTGCGTCTCTTTTGGCAACTCCACCTCCATCAGGAGTTTCCGGATAGCCATATCAATGGGATCCCCGAAGAACGAGAACCCTCTCATATACTTTCGCAGGGCAGTCTTATAAAAGTCATCGTTTGATTGAGCTAGGACGCTAGCAATCGCGCCCCTTGGAATGCTCTCTTCTAACCGACCTAAATATGTCGCCGGAGCTTCACCTTCTTGTCGTTCGGGATACGTGATCAAGCTAGTTTTAGAAGTTGGAGTTCCCGGGCCTTTGGAGCCTGGGGATCCGGTCCGGCCAACAGGGGAATCAGAATTCTGTCTAAATCGCTGAGGGATGTTAAAAATATCCCCGAAGCTTTTCCGCCCACTAGTGGAGGTTGATGTGCGGCCCGAGATGAGATGTGGCGATGGTTGCCCGCTATCCTGTGCATTAGCCAACGAATCTAAAGTAGATGATCTCGTACGTGACGTAGGTATTGCCCGACTCTTGTTCGACGGTGTCGAACGGGCTGAGTGAGCCGAGGTTGCAGAATCATTTCTCAGCAGGGGCGGTCGCGACGAAGCCAGGCCCACCGACGACCGTGTGGGAGATGGCAACGGAGAAATATGGTCTTCATTTGGATCTTCCGAGATATCGGACTTCGGGGCGGAATCACCATCACCCGCAGCAGACTTGGATATTGCCGAGCTTTGTGCGTGGCCGTTGCCCGAAATGTTGCCCGTTGGTTTTGGCGGTAAAGGAAAAAGAGGACTGCGATGCCGTTTCAAGCGCGGCATGCGAAATCGCTTGTTGCCAGACGCCCCCTCACGAGGGGAGGCTGAACGAGGATTGCCATCTCCGGCACTCCGGTCGGAACGAGAGGACTCCGAAAACCGCGCATCTGTCACTGAGGAGCGCTGAGAATCATTGTGCTGGTCACGATTGCTTCGGATCGACGTAGTTGATAAACGCCCGGGTTCTTCGCTGTTACTCTGAGAGGCCGATAGGATAGGGTCCGCCGCCTGCGACGCTGTTGATCCCTGTGCAGCATGCCCAGGCTTCTCGCTCTGACCACGTTTTGGTGCGCGTTGCGTGGGCAATTCTTCTACAGAGGGTGTTTTAGAATCGGGAAAAAGTTTAAATTTGGTCTTTCGTTTGACAGGTTGATCTAGTTCATGACTCGTGGGTGCAGTGGTAATAATAGTAGGAGCTATGACAGTGTGGTAGCAATTAGCGACGTGGCCAATACAATATTGACGTGACCTTATGAAACGAAGGTACTCACGAGGAGGTAGATTCGGCACTGGAGGAATATCCTCCTCCCCTTTGGCATATGATTTTGAGAGTTGCGGATCCGATGCATGACGTAGCCTCATGAAACTAAACCGGTTGAAGCGCCAATTTGAACCATCATTCACCGATAGGCCGGTATTTTGTACCTTGCCCGGTGGAGTATGCGAATGACTTCCCGCAAGCTCCGGGCCGGCAGTGTGAGTGTGGTGGTCTGCATCTGGACCGGTCAGAGTGGGTGAACGAGGAGCGGACTCCGAACGCCTCGGAGCTAGATTGGTTGTGGAGAGAGTAGGGCGAGGGATTTGCTCGCTATGGCGGGATACCGACTGAGGTTCGACCAAGCTCCGTCTCTTGGGTTCGTTGCCATCAGAGGTGCCAATTCGCAGACCTTTCCAATGCATGGCGACAGAAATACCGAAAGTGGGTTGTTACGTGGCCTTGCAGCGTAGCCAGGTGTAGAAACCCATCCAACAGTATCCAGTGACGCTAGGCGATCGCCCCACGGTGTATCACAACAATAACCCTCGGCCTTGTTCGCAACGGCTATCTTATACGACGGCGTTCCCCAATAGGTGGGCGGAGGGTTTTACTTGTAAACGTCACCCTTAGTCAACATCGATTAGCATCGCGAACGAATTGTTCGGAGGTAGACAAGCGACGGAGCTGTTGACGGAGGCGGAGGTGCGGAATCGGAAAAAGGGGGCAGGGGTACGGCAAGAGTCGATCGCGAGAGGAGATTTCGGTGGCCAGTAAGATTATTTAATGAACAATGGTTGGAGTTCTTACATTGCCCAGCTCACGTTTGACCGAAATGTGGAAGCGCGGACGAATGGGGTCGATTAGGCTGCGAAGGCTGAGGAACAAGTGAAAACAAGGAAATGAGGGGAGGCTGTCAATATTTTAGAGAAAATAGGAGCGGAGCAGTCAATGCCCTTTAGGGTAGTAAATGAAAGATTGTACGACGGTAAGAAGCGAGGGAATCAAGGACAAAAAAAAAACCGAGTGCGGAGGAAGGGATAAGGTGTGAAAATGGGGCAGGGTTGTTGGCAAGGACAGGCATAGGGAAGAAGAATAACGATGATGATGAAGATGGTGGAGTTTCTGATGACGGGCCGAGCAAATGCACCCCAGGCACGTGTTCTACGTTATGCACAATTTCCCCTTCCTCTCCATGGCTTTTTTTTTTTTTACTGTGGTTGTTTTCTAATAATTTCCCCCCAATATTAAGAACTTCTTGACATACTTCAAAAACTGTGGAAATTCTGTCTCATTATTGGATCGGTCATGTTCTCAGTTTTCCGTCCGGTGGGTTGTTTCTATCTTTAACTTGAGTGTACTTAGTTTAGGCGGGATTTAATAATCCAAGGTACACATATTAATTTAGACAAACCCATACACCACTGATGTACCACGTATACTTAATAGGGCGTACCTTAAAAGATCAATCCTTGTACTGTAATAAAAATGACATCAGAATGAACTTCCTTACCACTCACAGGAGATGTTTCTTTTCCGGTGAGATCCCATGCTCGTAGGTATGTACAGGTACAAATCAATACAATACAATAATACCCAATGGTGGTCTACCTCAACTGAGACCCGAGTCTCCTAGACAATTATCATTGTCCATCTGTAAGGACCGGAAATACAGGTTTTTGTCTTTTAACTCGGAGACCCTTGCGGTGTTCCATAGTTCCCCCTCCCCACGTGACATCGGTCGTTGCCGTATAAATAGCTGAATCAGTGTTTCTGTTCTTTTCCCTTTTTGTAAAATAAGATAATAATAAAATAGAAATAGAAATTAAGGGAAAAAAAATTACTGTGCTGATGGTACTTTGAAAAGTATCCCAAGAGGGAAACAATCTTCACAATCTTGAAAATGGTCCGTACGCCGTGTCAGTCAAGAGGGACATGACTGGTATGTCCTTGCTGTAAACTTACACTCTGCTTCAGATCCAGCAAATTATTCTTCGTATGATTCCAGAATCCTACAGCCGTGGAAAGAGCTGCAATAAGTCGCGAACCAGACCAACGAACGCGTCACCATAGGCCACGAATCAAAAAATGGAGCTTGTGTTTCGGGTATGCCAAGTAGGGCTTCCAGACCGGGCTCCTTTTGGATGGCGGTTGTATTGTGTACTGAGTATAAATGTTTGATCAGTCAAGGAGTATGTATGTTGCTTTTTGTCGGTTGCTGGTTGACAGTATTCCCATTCCGGACACGTTCAAGACCGGATCTACAAGAACCATAATGCCGGGATTGGAAATGTTCATTCTTTTTGCTTCAACGAGGCTCATGAAGCGCCTCGTTGCGGTCTAGAATGGCCCAAAAACTTTATCGGAATGCGAGTGGAGCCAGTGGGGGTCCGTCGCTCGACCTGACAGCTGATTTGGCCTGCAGCAGTGCAACGGTTGATTAATTTCTCATCTTTCATATAATCATACACTGTATTAGTAGCTCATCCTACACAAACAGGGTACGTACGGATACTATGCCAGTATCGAAGGGTTCGTGTTGCAAAGGGTGGTCCCTTGTCCCCTCTACTACCCCAGTAAGGGTGGTCTCCTTAAATCGCTCCTTGCGCTTTCCTGATTCCAGGTCCCGTAAAGCTGAGTATCTTCCCATTCGGAGGAAGCGAGAACACCTTCAATTGGCACCTTGACTTTATCCTAGATAGGGCCTTTGTTTCTTCAAATCGAGTGCTTCCCGAACCAAACCCCGGGAGTCCGACCACGGTTCAGCCATCGGTTGCATGTCAACCTGACTACTTCGCTCTGTATTGGCATTGTAATTCTCTGCAAGACCCGGCATATGCTGACATTGTAATATCACATCGCGGATAATGACTCCTCATTTTGTCAAAAAGTTAAGCCTCGGTGCGGAAAACGGGGTTAGATCGGTAGATTTGTCCAAATGTGCGACAGTAGTATGATTACGATCGGACCTAGGGTCAGTACCGGGATTTTCCAACGAAAATCTGCTCTATGAGTAGATATGGCAAGAATATTTCCCCCTTTTTTATACAGAATTTGATATGGCATGTATCTTGTTACTAGGGTATCCGGCAGCGTTTTATACCGGCAGAAGATATTTCTGCCTGAGGCATCGTGATACGTCAGCCTCAGGCACCAGCCGCGGTCCATGGCTCATCATCCATCGTCTCATGTTACTTCACTCCATGCCTCTTCCATCCGTCTTTCCCAGTCGCTATCTGGTACCGTGCACTTGAATTTCATCTAAAAAGCTGACAATGAGGATTTTGATATAGCTTTTCTGCGATTTTACTACCCCCGAGATGCGCTACCTTTTCCTCATCGTCCTGGTGGCTTTTGCCGCTCTGACAACTGCCGTCCCCGCAGGCTCCAGTATCACTCCGCCGCCGCCAATTGAGCCCGTCCAGCTACTATCCCCACAGTCGTCCGATCTTAGACGGCCATGGACCCGAGTAAGGGACTGGATAATTGAGACGATATGGGGTCTTCCAACACCAACCTCTGATCGGCTCCCTTTCAAAGACCATTCGCGCGACCAATCTGCCCCGTCTCGGGTTCAGGCGCGGTATGGCAGCGATGTGGTTTTGCGATTCCGGTTGCGCAATGACAAAGAAGCGGAAGCCTTAGAGCAAGCGACAGAGATCCTCTTTCTGGATGTCTGGGCTTCCGCCTCCGATTTTGTGGACGTTCGACTGGCCGAAGAAGTCGTAAGTCTTAATTACCTTCTCCGTTCTCCCATGCGAGCCGATCCCTTCCTAACGTTCTCCCCGTAGATTCCTTCGTTATTAGGCCTACTGCCAGATTCCCTTCGCACCGCTTATACTCCTCTCATTGACAACCTACCGGAGCTGATATATACAACCTATCCAACTCGACGACCCATAGGACTAGAGGGCCAGCCGGGATTCCGGCCTCCCGTCCGACAGTCGGCTCAGCTCGGGGACCTCTTTTTCCAAGATTATCAACCGCTTTCCGTCATTGTCCCATGGATGCGCCTGATGGCCTCTATGTTCCCATCCCATGTTCGCATGATCAACGTTGGAATTTCATACGAAGGCCGAGAGATCCCTGCACTCCGACTCAGCGCTGGAAGGAACAGAGCACAGTCAGCCCCTCGTCGGACCATTGTCATGGTCGGGGGCAGTCACGCGCGAGAATGGATTAGCACCTCCACAGTGACATACGTCGCTTCAAATCTGATCACCAACTTCGGCAAATCCAACGCCGTAACCCGCCTGCTGGAAGACTTTGACGTCGTCCTCGTACCAACCATCAACCCAGACGGATACGTCTACACATGGGAAGTCGACCGCCTATGGCGCAAAAATAGACAACGTACCGGCCTCCGCTTCTGCCCGGGAATCGATTTAGATCGATCATGGAGTTTCGAATGGGACGGCGAGAGGACCCGCTCCAACCCCTGCTCCGAGAACTACGCAGGTGACGAACCATTTGAAGGGCTGGAAGCCGCGCAATTCGCGCAATGGGCCCTCAACGAGACCCAAAACAACAACGTCGAAATAGTAGGCTTCCTCGACCTCCACTCCTACTCCCAACAAGTCCTCTACCCCTTCTCATTCTCCTGTTCGTCTGTCCCACCCACCCTCGAAACCCTCGAAGAGCTAGGCATGGGCTTCGCCAAAGTCATCCGCCAGACCACACACGAGATCTACGACGTCACCTCCGCCTGCGAAGGAACCGTCACAGCTACGGACAAAGCCTCCGCAAAGACCTTCTTCCCCATCAGCGGGACCTCGGGCGGCAGCGCCCTAGACTGGTTCTACCACCAACTCCACGCCAGCTTCGCATACCAAATCAAGCTGCGCGACCGCGGAAGCTACGGCTTCCTCATCCCCTCCGAGTACATCGTGCCCACAGGAAAGGAAATCTACAACGTCCTCCTGAAACTGGGCGAATTCCTCGTCAAAGAAACCGCCTCCCCAGCCACCAAAGCAGACATAAACTGGGACGCTGACCTCCTGGTCCACGATGACTCTAAAGCAAGCTCCGCGGAGAGTATCTCTGACTCCCTCCCTGAAGTAAACACAGATTCAACATCAACTGTAAAAACCACCCCAATCCCCTTCCCAGAAGACACTCTGGATAATCAATGGGTGCCGTTCGATCTGGACGAGGAAGAAGCCGAGGAGGGCCAGAATTGGGAGCTCCGACGACGACGACGGAGGTAGAAAATATATTCTTGCCTTAGATATTGTTCTGCGCAGAACTGATATTGCACTGCTGATTTGTTCTTTTGATTATTATTAGTGCCTTTTCTTTCATTTTTCGTTTCTATCTTGCATACTAATTGTGGATAATTTGAGACGAGCTTATGATTAATGAACGAAGACTTTAAGAGTGTTGGGAGATTTACAGAAATCTATATATCAGTGGCGGTTCCCGAACACCCACCGCCTTCCGCTGGTGGGTGTTCGGGAACCACCACTGATAGTGCTCTAGTTATATGCCAAATGGATCGATTATGTTTACGGAGTAGGGTTCTGTAGTGCAGCCTTGGTAGCCAGTGAAACAGTCACCACAACATCAACTAGACAAAGCAAGTCTACTATAATACTAGCCAACCTTACTAGAAATTTTGGTATATGATCGGAGTCTTCATTATCTCATAGCATAGCAATAACCATGAACATAAAATACATACGACAAA